TGTTTTTGGCAGATTGAATGAGTACAGCACTGTGTTAAAATCACTGAAGGGCAGGAGGGATGCGCTCTATGGGCGATTAAGTGAAATACTCTTGGCTAAGGTTTTCCTACTCCCTGATGAAGTTCTCTCTTGTTATGGTTTCAATTTGGACTTTGACACGTCACTTATGCTTTTGTTACCTTGTTCAAGAAGTTGCCTTCCCTTTTGATCTAATGCAGGTTTAAGTTTGTTCATTTGAAATTCTCTGTGAATCAGGTTATCCATACCACAAGCGAGAATCTAATCATACTGTTTATTACATCAAGGAGAACAGCATGGTAGTTGAAAAATTCATACATATGATTAACTTAGGATGGTTAAAATGGAGGAATGTTATGGGAGTTCTATAAAATAGGAAGTCACGGAACAAAATCAAAGACAAGTTCTGTAGAACAGTTGTAAGATTGTTAATTTATGTGGGAGTGAATGTGGGGCGTGTAAGGCTCAACATATCCACAAGATGAATGTTGTATAGATGCAAATGTTAAGATGTAAATGCGGTCATACAAGATTGGATAAGATGAGATATGGTCATATCCAATAGAAAGTAAATGGGATAAGATTGCTTGAGATAGTTTAATCATGCCTATGTAGACACCTATATGTGCCATCTTATAGTGCAAGAGTATGATGATTGAAGGTGAAAAGAAGAGGACGAGATATATATAATTACAAAATCACATAGAGGGAAGATGTCTCAAAAGACCTATAATCTCTTATAATGTCTTGGAATCCATGGTCTGGAGGGCTTTTGAGCAAATTAGAGACTCGACATTCATGTAGGTCTAGGGACGATGAAAAGATCATATGAACGATNGCGATATGAATCTGTTGGGTTTAAGGAACTGTTGTTGTTACACACATTAGGTCCCAACTTTGAAATAAAGGTATAGAGAAGATTAAAAGAGAGTATGGTAGTCAAATAGAAGGATCTAACTGGGGTCATAGTAGATAGTCCCATACCATCCAGTGTTCTTAAAGCCATTTTTCCCTAGTTTCGAACTTGTACATCAATGTAAATATAATGTGAAGTTTAAAAAGCGTAGTTTTAGAGGACTCCTATTTTTCTTTAAAATAAAACTTATTTAGTGTTGGAATGAAATAGACATGTATAGAAAACTTAATTAGAGTTGGGTGATTAATTTGCACAAAAGAATATAGTAAGCAAAGTGAGATCAGTATGATGCATGTCAGGGCTGCTATAATATTCTAACAAAAATGCGAACAAAGTCTTGTTAACCAACTGAAAGCTCGACGGGATGAATGTATTTTGACTTGCTGCCTATAGGCCATTTCCAGATTACTCTAGGGGTTATGAGCTGCCATTATGTCTGCCTTCTAGTTGATGCCTATCTTAGATATTCAGTATCCTAAACTGATATAAGCTCCCTTATATTCTGTAATGAGGTATATTCTTACCATTACTTCTAAAAAACAAATCGGTTACAAGGTATACCTGTAGCTGAAAAAGAGGCATCTGTTCATTATTTATCTCATGATTTTGATTTGGACCTTTCGGTCATCTTCAGGGTAAGGCTGATGATCAACTTAGTTGGAGGGTGCTTCAGAACGAAAAATTGGCAAGATTAAAGGAAAAGCTTCGACAGCAGAAAGAGCAAGTTTCACAAGGTGTTTGGTCCTGTATTACTAATGGCAGCTCTTCAATTTTGATTGTATGCAGATCTTAACCTATTGGCGAGCAGACTAATACATGTATTTACAGGGAAGGCGAA